TATGCATTTTCTTATCATACTTCCAATTTTTCTTTTTCTTTCTTTCTTTCTTTCTTTTTTCTTTCATTCTTTCTTTTTTTCTTTCTTTCTTTCTTTTTGTGTTTCTTGTATTTTCTTATCATACATCCATTTCTTTCTTTCTTATTTTTCTTTCTTTCTTATTTTTCTTTCTTTCTTATTTTTCTTTCTTCTCTTTATTTCTTCACACACGCATTCTTCATTCATTTTCTCTCAAAATTTTAAAATTCAAATGCGGTCCTAAATGTCCTCAAACTTTCTTTCTCTTGAAAATAATATTTTTATCATTTTTTTCTCTTTTGCTACGACCAACATTTATTTGTTTCAAACAATTTATTCAGATTATTCATTTGTGTTTTCATTAATCTATCATATTTAAATAAGAGATAAGGTGAAGGATAAATGGATCTAAAACGTTTCGTTTAATTGTTTCTCCGTAATATATCCGTGTTAAACTTGTAATCAACTAATCCTCACAAATCCGATGCCTCATTAATCCACCGAGTTTGGACTATATAACATGGAACTATTGTATTTAGGATTCATTTAAAAAATTCAAAATTATATACTTATCACTATCACTCCATCTCTCTCTCTCCCTCTCTCTCTCTCTCTCTCTCTCTCTCTCTCTCGATAAACATGTGGAACGTCTACGCAAATACGAGTATCCACTAAAATAACCGTTTAGTAATAAAAATCTGTTTGATTGATAAATAAAAATTCCATTCCTTTCTTTGCAAATTAGTTTGTTTACATTAGCAGATATGTCTATTTCAAGAGTCAAAGCCAATCTGTGTTTTAAGGGAATATTCAACATTGCTTAACCTCTTGGTTTGGTAAAGAGTAGACTTGCATTAGCAATTTCTTCTCATATTTTTACCTCTGTGGTATGTCTAAAAAAACATATCTCACTTTCTTATATATATATATATATATATATATATATATATATATATATATTACAAAAATTAGGAATTAAGATTACCCCATGATATTGGCGATCATCTTTTCACCTTATAAATTAAAATTAATTTGTAAGGAATTTTCAAAGCCATCAGGTTAACAAGAAAAAACAAAATGAATTTTTTTCTCTTCTTCACCTGAAAATTAAATTTGACATTCTTAGAAATTAATTTCATTTTTAACGTGACATGATCAACATCAGTTTCATGGAGTAATCCTAATTCCTGTTATTCCTGATATTTTATTTTATATTAATAGGATTCACTTGAATTATATATCAACAGGATTTATATATATATATATATATATATATATATTTCTGGTGGAGTATTCATTTGTAAGAGAAGAGACGTACACAATCATATATCGTATTAATAATTAAAAATGTCCATCCCTTTCCTTAGAAATTCCTTTGTTTACCTTAGGATAGGGAATTGAGCTGATATGTCTATTTCGGGAGGCAGAGAAAAATCTGTGTTTAAAGGCACTATTCATCGAGCCACTTCCGTTGTGAATGGCCAGAAAAGCAATATGATGTGGGTCGATCAAAAAGTCCTAAGCCTCAATCAGAACGATTTGAAGAAACAAGAGAGTTTTTCACTATTTTGAAATATAGTTACCCCCACCCCCCAAAGACCGCTTGACATCAATGTACGATGCTTAACGATGCTGAAGCAATCTCATCACGGAAGAAGATGGCTTCCTTGTCCTCCAAAAACTCATTCAGAGCACATAAGATCTCATCATTGTTTCCAAAATGGCAACCACGCAGGTGAGATTTGAGTTTAGGAAACATAAACTTAGATGAAGCTAAGTCTGGTTGGTATGGATTCGCAATTCAAAACCACCGTTGGCTGATTCAGCTACTACAATCTGAGCAGGGTGAACCTGCGGGTTATCCTGGAGAAAGAAGACATCTGCCCTCAGCTTCCATCTGCGTTTCTCCTTGATTGCTTCCTTCAGGTGTCTTCATTCTGAGGCGTAGATTTTCTATCATGATTACGCCTTCAGATTCCCAAAACGCATAAGCCATTCCCAGGCAAACAGACGTTGCCTTCTTGAATTACTTCGGGATAAAGAATCACAGTTTCCACTCTTTGCTTTAAATCTTTGATTCAGGTTCGAAGTGGTGAACTCAGCTTTAATCTTGAGTTACTAATTAGCGGTGGGAATTCTCAGGGTCAACCTGGAAGAAATATCAGAAATATCCTGGAAATACCAGCCCTTTTCAGCTTCTACTCTGTTGTCAGCATTCTTGGGGCCCATCTTGCAGACGGCTTGTTCATCTCCAAGATCTCAATTAAAACAGTATCGGGCAGTATAGAACTAATTCCTACCGTTTTAGCTATCTGCTGGACAGTAAAACGTCTGTCATTCAAAACCATACGGTGGATGACATCAACTTGTTCATCAGTGGATAAGGTTCTTGGACGACCCAACCGAATGTCAACGTCTGTGTTGTCTGTGCCCCGCTTGAATTCCGAAGCCCACTTTTGCACAATTGAATAAGAAGGGAAATTCTCAGCAAGTATCTGTACCATGTCCTCATGAATTTATCCTGGATCTAACCAAAGCCTTTATCCACTGTGCCATGTGTCCAGTGGCAAGACCAAAGGAGTGTGAGTTCAATACCCGGTTAAGGCAGTGGAGAACATGGAGAGGGGAATTAACAGGAGATAACTGATAACTGACATCCATTAAACATGACACGTGGAACTAGAACTGTCTACCCCAGTATTCGAAATAAAGGGTTCAGTTCGACATTCCAACCATCTGAAGAAGGCCGAAGCGTACAACGGCCGAAACGTTGTAATAAATATGGCGACGAAGATGAACACAATAGTCCGAATAATTTAAATAGTGAACATAATACCTCATCTCAGAAATATAGACAGATACTGAAAGGCCGAAACGTTGTAATAAATATGGCAACAATGATGAGGACAATAGTCCGAATAATGTAAATAGTGTACATAATACCTCATCTCAGAAATATAGACAGATACTGAAAGGCCGAAACGTTGTAATAAATATGGCAACAAAGATGAGGACAATAGTCCGAATAATGTAAATAGTGTACATAATACCTCATCTCAGAAATATAGACAGATACTGAAGGGCCGAAACGTTGTAATAAATCTGGCGACAAAGATGAGGACAATAGTCCGAATAATGTAAATAGTGTACATAATACCTCATCTCAGAAATATAGACAGATACTGAAAGGCCGAAACGTTGTAATAAATATGACGACAAAGATGAGGGCAATAGTCCGAATAATGTAAATAGTGTACATAATACCTCATCTCAGAAATATAGACAGATACTGAAGGGCCGAAACGTTTTAATAAATCTGGCGACAAAGATGAGGACAATAGTCTGAATAATGTAAATAGTGTACATAATACCTCATCTCAGAAGTATAGACAGATACTGAAGGGCCGAAACGTTTTAATAAATCTGGTGACAAAGATGAGGAGAATAGTCCGAATAATGTAAATAGTGTACATAATACCTCATCTCAGAAATATAAACGTTTGCTAAGTGTGTCGTGATATTTTCCTTCTGTCCTACATGTGCCGTCGCTTAAAAAGGTTGAGAAACACTGATCTAGAGATAATGATTTTCTATTTATTCTTCCAATGTTATCTCCTAATCAAAATATGCCCTTCTTTTCATAAATTATTTCTAGTTTCTCCCATTTTATTCTGTTCTTATTGTCAAGTGTTTTTTAGAAGAATCATTTCTTATGCATTTATTTCATGAATGTTTTTATAATTTGTTTTCATTCATTGCCTTGGATATTTCCCATTTGTTATTTTGATTCATTCTTAATATTTTTCATTCATGTCTTAATATTCTAATCTCTTGTTCATTTCCGTATTCAATCAAATATTTTTTTTATATATTTGTTGTTCATTTTCTACTTTTCTTCACTTTCTTCGTTTCTTTTTCCGTCCTTATTTTTGTTTTTCTTCTTCATTTTCCTTCCAAATTTTCCGTTTCTACATTCCAGTTATTTTTTCATTCTTTCTTCATATTTCCATTTTTTTTATTCTTAAGTCCTTTCATTCATTTTACCATTCTTTTTATTTCATTCATTTTTTTCTTCTATTCCTTTTTCCTTTTTTACGTTTCCTTTTTACGTTTTCTTTCATTTTTATTTTACTCGCTTTTATCTTTAATTTTATTTATTCTTTCAAATGTATTTCTTTAGTTATTTTCTGTTTACATATTCACTTTTTTCTCTGCTTTCCTTCTTTTTTTAGGGCTTAATATTCTTCTCGTTTTCTTTCGTTCTTTCTTGGTCATCCATTTTCTTTTTTTTTTCTATTTTTCTTTGTTGCTTTCTTTCGCTATTAACGTTTTCTTACTATTTCTCTCTGTCTCTTGAGAAACACTGATCTATAGAAAGGATTTTGTATTTATTCTTTCAATTGTTTTTCCTAATAATTATATGCACTTTTTTCATAAATCTTTTCTAGTTTCTACCATTTTATCCTGTTCTATCAAGTCTTATTGTTATGTGATTATTATTACTTTCTTTGTTTTTATTCTTTCATTAGTTTTAACAGAATGCATGCCATCACCATTTTGACAAAATTCTTTCTCAATTCTAAATCCACGTCTAATTTTATTGATCCTATCAATTTAGTACGGTCGTTTGATTTTAAAATTTATTTGCTCAAACGTTCTATTCATGGCAACATTCTTTCTTGTTTCTTATTTATTTATTATTTCTTTCTTTTTTCACTCTTCTTTTCTTCCATTTTATCCATCCATATTTATTAAACTCTTTTCTCTTTGCAAATCACTTTTTTGGGGCTTGTTTTACATCTCTTTTACCTTTATTGTTCTGATTATTCGTTAAATTCCTTCTTCTTTTTTCAGTATATATTTTATTTTCTTTATTTCTTATTTTAGATTTTTTTTCTTTTTCAGGTTTAGTTTCTGGTTTGTGATTTTTTTCTATCAATTATTATACAAATGTTTGCTTTTTATTTGTTCAAATCTCTATTATGTTCTATTTGTTTGTTCTTTCTTTCTTTCTTTCTTTCTTTCTTTCTTTCTTTCTTTCTTTCTTTCCTAATCATTTAATTTACTTGTTTTCTTTTCCATTCGATTTTTTCTTTCTTTGTTTATTTCTTTTTCTTTCGTTTTTCTTTCTCTCTTTCATTCTTTCTTTCTGTATTATATTTTCAAATTTTTATTTTTTTATTTTTCCAAATATATTTTTTTTTCATTCGTTTTACTCCCTTTTTCCTATTCTCTGCTATTTGTAACATTCTTGATTCTTGCTTTCCTTCCTATTCATTTCATTTTTTAACTCCATATTTTTCATTCTATTCCAGTTCTTCATTTTTTCTTCGTGATCTCACTGCTTTGTTTCTCCTTTTTATTTAATTCACTTCCCTCTTTCTTCACAATTTTTCTTTATTTATTTCATCTCATTCTCGCGTTTCTCCTTTTTATTCCATTCTCTTCACTCTTTCCATAAAAGTTTATTTCTTCCATCCTTCCTACCTTTCTTTCTTTCTTTCTTTCTTTCTTTCTTTCTTTCTTTCTTAATCATCTCATTCTCGCATTTCTTCGTTTTATATTCCATTCTCTTCGCTCTTTGCATAAAAGTTTCTTTCATTCTTTCTTTCATTCTTTCTTTCTTTCTTTCTTTCTTTCATTCTTTCTTCGCTCTTTCCATATTTCTTTCTTTCTTCCTTCCTTCCTTCCTTCCTTTCTTTCTTTCTTTCTTTCTTTCTTTCTTTTTGAATCATCTCATTCTCGGATTTCTTCCTTTTATATTCCATTCTCTTTGCTATTTCTTTCTTTTTCAAATCATTCTTTGATTTTACCAAATTTGTATTCCATTCTCTTCTTTCTTTCCATACCAGGTTCACTCTTTCTTTCTCGTCTCATCCGCCTGTTTCTCCTTTTTGTTATTCCATTTTTCTCTCTCTTTCCCTACCAGTTTCTTTCTTTCTTTCTTTCTTTCTTTCTTTCTTTCTTTCTTTCTTTCTTTCTTTCTTTCTTTCTCGTGTTATTCTTTAGTTTCTCTTTTTCTTCTTCCATTATTCTGGCTCATTCTATTCTAATTTCTTTTCTACTCACATATACACGCCTTCGTGGATTTATTTTCTTTCATCCCCTCTCCAAATTTCTTTCCACATGAACAAGCGGCCAGTTGGTATCCCCAAATCTTATTTCAACCGTATCATCTTTTAATAAATTGCCTTAAGTCCTCGCATCTAACCCAGATTGCTTTAAATAACTGATATCCTTTTCATATGTGACTTCCAAGTCGGCTTATCCCTCGTTTTACTTATGTTCATCTATCTATCTATCTATCTATCTATCTATCTATCTATCTATCTATCTCTCTCTCTCTCTCTCTATATATATATATATATATATATATTCTTTCAATATATTATATCTAGTCATATCATTTCCGCACAACACAGAACCAGTGTTTGTAGAAATACCCGAAGATTATAGTTTTATCTGACTCAAATTTATTATTTTGGGATATCATATCCTGTTTCGCTTTAGGGGAAATTATGCGTTTGAAATTACCATTCTCCAATATGTTTATCTAAAATGTATTCTTTCTATCTTCTGTCCAATATTGACCCTGAACCGGGCTACTCATTTTTCGCATTCAAACAATTTTATATCGAGACTTCATCTCATATCAAGTGACAAGGCCTGGGGGTGTGGTTCGAGACTGCAGAGTCGGCACTCGCACACAATTAGATGCCCAATGAGTGCAGAAAAATGTTAATCGCTATCGAAATGAAAATCAAGCGGGGTTCCTTAGTTAAGTTTACTTTATTTTTCTATAGTTTCATTCCAAGGAAGGCGATAATGCCACTAGGGTAAATGGGGTTAATGGGAGTGAAAGAGAATGAAAATACACGAATATGGAGAGGTAGAAAGAAAGGAGAATAATAAAAAAACAGGTTTAATTTCGTTTCGTTTCGTTTACGGCATATCAACCTCAATGGGTTATTTAATGGAGACAAGATTTTTATTGCTAGCAATATTTTTTCCTCAAAAATGTATTGCTGGTAATATTTTTTTCTTCAAAAATGTGTTGCTAATAATACTATTATTTTTTTCAAAAATTTATTATTGGTAATATTTTTTTTCAAAAATGTATTACTGGTAATATTTTTTTATTCAAAAATGTATTACTGATAATATTTTTTATTCAAAAATATATTGCTGATAATATTTTTTCTTCAAAAATGTATTGCTGATAATATTTTTTTCTTAAAAAGAATTATTGCTGGTAATAATATATTCCTGGTAATAATTGTTCCTTTAAATATATATTGCTGGTATTAAAAACTATTTTATATTTTCATAATGTTTTGACACTAGTTTGGAGGTTAACTATTTGCCCATAGTTCGGAACCTAACAGGTGCTACCACACCGGGTCAGAGAAGACCTGATAACACCGGGGTTTAAGAGGTGATTTCACGCTCCTCAAAACCTGCTGAGTCCTTGCTGTTGGACGTAGTTTATCGTCTTTCCCAGGACGCGGATGTAGTTTATCGTCATACACAGGACGAACAATATCATTAGTCGGACTATTGTCCTCATCTTTGTCGCCATATTTGTCACAACGTTTCGGCCGTTGTACACTCCGGCCTTCTTCAGGTGGTTGGAATTTCGAACTGAACCCTTTATTTCGATCACTGGGGTAGATAGTCCGACTAATGTAAATACTGTACATAATACCTCATCTCAGAAATATAGACAGACTCTGAACAATATCATGTTTAAGGAATACTGAAGATTACGATTGGCGCTGCATTTATATTTTTGAAGAAGGTAAGTGTCATGGTATCAAGAATTCTGAAATGAGTTCCAAATGCCAAAATGCGAGAAAAGAAACTATAGAACAGACGGTTGCATCAAGCTAATTTATCAGTAAAATAGTGAGACCTAATTGCCAATCAAGTAACATGTTTAAATTCCTGCAGTCGGAGAACACGGAAGGAAAGCTCATCGGAACAACTGCGAGGAAAATATTTATAGAAAAGGCAGAGGGAAGCCGTGTCACTTCGAGAAGAAAATGACTGAAATCGTGATGCCAGATCAGAATCACTTATGAGACAAATAGAATATTTTATCATCCTCAGAAAATGAAAAATCAAGATACATACACGTGCACAATTTCTACGGTAAGTTTTACTCCTTACAAGGCCCGACGTCACTCTTGTTAAACAGTTACAGTGTAAGAGGAACAGTTTATGCCGATATATGGAAGCTAATAATTAAATCTAGACTTGAAAATTTTAACATTGTAGTGATTGGGGAAGCACCATCTTTGGAGTCGGTTTCAGAAAGCAACGGTTCATGGGAAATAAATAGAACACGAAATAAATGAAGGTGGTTCGCTCCAAAGGGCGTGGCATAGCACGTCTTAGTCGTTGTACCCTCCGGACGTCATCAGGTATTACCTAGAAGGTATTCTGAATTGAAACCTTTATTTAATCTACGGGGATAGATTGTTCTCGTTCTGCTACCCAGGATATCTCGTCTACTTCTTATTTTTAATACTGCTCAATTATTGCTCTCTCTTTTTCCAGTGAATACGCACTGCCAGGTCCAGGGATTGAACTCACAATTACTTTATCACTTTAAAAAAATATAAACAGCGGGACAATAGCTTAGTGCAGGGGTCAGCAAACCCGATCCATATCCGGCCCGCGAAGGATTTTTGTCCGACTCGCCAGCTTAATACCTGGACAATAATTATCTAACTTGTGGAACAAGTGGCAGAAAAGAATATCAGTTGGGGTTAATAGACTTGTGACGAATTTCTTTGAATCAAAATTTAATTCCTAATCCACAGCTGACTTCTACAAGAAATGTTTTGAAAAGCGGAAAATATAAAAGCCTATTAAATAATAAGAAAATGATGGTATCTTTATTTGGAAGTACATATACTTGGGAACACTTATTTGTCGAAAATGAAATATACTAAAAGTTGTTTAAGAATAAGATTGGTTGATGACTACATAAATGATGTCTTGCTCTTGTCATCGACTAATATATCCCCGGATGTGAAGAGGTTATCGAATAATAAGCGGAAACAATTGTCTCATTAAATAATTTGCCATTACTAACTGTATTTCATTTGTAGTAAGGAATTTGCAATTTTTGCTGATTGTGTTAGTTATTCCATACCAAGGCAGTCTTCTGGACAAGAGCACTCTGAGATTGAAACAATTTGTTATAATACAATTGATATCATGGGCCTCTTCCGAGACAATGCATAGCTTTCTGGTCTAATCTCCCCAAAAGGTTGCCCACCCTTGACTTAAAGCTATGAAAGATCAAATATTACAGAGAGCTGTAATTGGCTACATCTTAAAGTAAGTTTTGGCAATGCCTGACCCCAGTCCACATCTGGCCCACGAAAGATCTTTGTTTGAAATGTCAGCTTAATACCTGAACAATAATTATCTAATTAATTTGTGGATCAAGTGGCAGAAAAAATATCAGTTGGAGTTAATTAGAACGCAACAAATTTTTAAATCAAATTTTAATTCCGAATCCACTGTTGACTTTTACAAGAAATTTGTTTTGCCAAGTGGAAAATATAAAAGCCTATTGAATAATGCGAAAATGATGGTATCGTTATTTGGAAGTAAACATGTTCGTGAAGAAATCTAAAAATATGAAATATACTAAAAGTTGTTTAAGAATAAGATTAGTTGATGCCCACCTAAATGATGTTTTGCTCTTGTCATCGACTAATAAATCCCCGGATGTGGAGAGGTTATCGAACAATAAGCAGAAACAATTGTCTCATTAAATAATTTGCCATTTCTAATTGTATTTCATTTGTAGTAAGGATTTTTTATTTTATTTTATTTTATTTGTTATTATCCTGTTCTTTCTGCAGTTGTTTCTTCTTTTAACCTCAAGACGAAGGCAGCCTTCTGGATGGAATGGTCAGAGATCAAGACAGTTTGTTATAATACATTTGATATGATGGCCCCGGACTGAGACAGTGTATAGATTTTGATATCATTGGCCCTGGACTGAGACAGTGCATAGATTTTGATATCATTTTGAGACAGTGCATAGATTTTTTGATATCATTGGTCCTGGACTGAGACAGTGCATAGATTTTTTGATATCATTGGTCCTGGACTGAGACAGTGCATAGATTTTGATATCATTGGCCCTGGACTGAGACAGTGCATAGATTTTGATATCATTGGTCCTGGACTGAGACAGTGCATAGATTTTGATATCATTGGTCCTGGACTGAGACAGTGCATAGATTTTGATATCATTGGTCCTGGACTGAGACAGTGCATAGATTTTGATATCATTGGTCCTGGACTGAGACAGTGCATAGATTTTGATATCATTGGACTGAGACCTGGATCATTGGTCCTGGACTGAGACAGTGCATATTTTTGATATCATTTTTGAGACAGTGCATATCATTGGTCCTGGACTGAGACAGTGCATAGATTTTGATATCATTGAGACCTGGACTGGACTGAGACAGTGCATATTTTTGATATCGTTTACTGAGACAGTGCATGATTTTGATATCGTGACCCTGGACTGAGACAGTGTATGATTTTGATATTTGGTCCTGGACTGGACTGAGACAGTGCATAGATTTTGATATCATTGGTCCTGGGACATAGAGATATCATTGGCCCTGGTGCGGTGTATAGATTTTGATATCATTGGTCCTGGACTGGAGACAGTGCATAGATTTTGATATCATTGGTCCTGGACTGAGACAGTGCATGGACTGACGGTGTATAGATTTTGATATCATTGGCCCTGGACTGAGACAGTGCATAGATTTTGATATCATTGGTCCTGGACTGAGACAGTGCATAGATTTTGATATCATTGACCCTGGACTGAGACAGTGTATAGATTTTGATATCATTGGACCCTGGACTGAGACGGATGTGACCCTGGACTGAGACAGTGTATAGATTTTGATATCATTGGCCTGACTGAGACCCTGTACTGAGACAGTGCATAGATTTTGATATCATTGGCCCTGGACTGAGACAGTGTATAGATTTTGATATCGTGACCCTGGACTGAGACAGTGTATAGATTTTGATATCCAGTGTATAGATTTTGATCCCTGGACTGAGACAGGGGTGATTTTTCATATCAAGGCCCTGGGTGAGAGATTTTAGATTTATATATCATTGGTCCTGGACTGAGACAGACAGTGGCGATTTATATATCATTGGCCCTGGAGTGAGACAGTGTATAGCTTTTGATTTTTGATTTTAATCAATTGGTGTATGGACTGAGACAGTGTATAGATTTTGATATCTTGACCCTGGACTGTATAGACAGTGTATATTGATTTTGATATCATTGGTCCTGGACTGAGACAGTGCATGAGATTTTTGATATCATTGGTGGACTGAGACTGAGATTGACCTGTACTTAGACAGTGCATAGATTTTGATATCTTGACCCTGGACTGAGACAGTGTATAGATTTTTGGACTGGATATCTGGACTGAGACAGTGCATAGATTTTGATATCATGACCCTGGACTGAGACAGTGTATTGATTTTGATATCATGGCCCTGGATAGATTTTGATATCATTGGTCCTGGACTGAGACAGTGCATAGATTTTGATATCATTGACCCTGGACTGAGACAGTGTATAGATTTTGATATCATTGGTCCTGGACTGAGACAGTGTATAGATTTTGATATCATTGATCCTGGACTGAGACAGTGTGGATAGATTTTGATATCATTGGTCCTGGACTGAGACAGTGCATATATTTTGATATCATTGGTCCCTGTGCATGAGACAGTGTATAGATTTTGATATCATTGGCCCTGGACTGAGACAGTGTATAGATTTTGATATCATTGGTCCTGGACTGAGACAGTGTATAGATTTTTGATATCATTGGCCCTGGACTGAGACAGTGCCTAGATTTTTATATCATTGTCCTGTATGAGACAGTGCATAGATTTTGATATCATTGGTCCTGGACTGAGACAGTACATAGATTTTGATATCATTGGTCCTGGACTGGACAGTACATAGATTTTTGATTTTCATATATCATCAGTGTAAGATTTTGATATCATTGGCCCTGGACTGAGACAGTGTATTTTGATATTTGGCCCTGGATATCATAGATTTTGATATCGTGGCCCTGGACTGAGACAGTGTATAGATTTTGATATCATTGACCCTGGACTGAGACAGTGTATAGATTTTGATATCATGACCCTGGACTGAGACAGTGTATAGATTTTTGATATCATTGGTCCTGGACTGAGACAGGGACATTGATTTTGATATCGTGACCCTATCAAGGCCCTGGACTGAGACAGTGGATTTTGATATCCTGACCTGGACTATGCATAGATTTATATATCATTGGCCCTGGACTGACAGTACATAGATTTTTGATATCATTGGCCTGGACTGAGACAGTGTATGATTTTTGATATCGTGACCCCTGAATGAGACAGTGTATAGATTTTGATATCTTGACCCTGGCTGAGACAGTGTATAGATTTTATATCATTGGCCCTGGAGATTTTGAGACAGTGTATAGACAGTGTATAGATTTTGATATCATTGGTCCTGGACTGAGACAGGGTATTGATTTTTTCATATCAAGGACCTGGACTGAGACAGTGTATAGATTTATATATCATTGGCCCTGGACTGAGACAGTGTATAGCTTTTGATATCATTGGTCCTGTGCTTGGAGCAGTGCATAGATTTTCATATCTTGACCCTGGCTGAGACAGTGTATTGATTTTGATATCATTGACCCTGGACTTAGACAGTGTATTGATTTTGATATCGGACACTGGCTGAGACAGTGTATAAATTTATATATCTGGCCCTGGACTGAGACAGTGTATAGATTTTGATATCATTGACCTGGACTAAGACAGTGTATAGAATTTATATATCATGGCCCTGGACTTAGACAGTGTATAGATTTTGATATCGTGACAGTGGATTGGCCCTGGAGGAGACAGTGTATAGTTTTGATATCATTGGCCCTGGACTGAGACAGTGTATTGATTTTCATATAGGACCTGGACTGGATTTTATATCATTGGTCCTGGACTGAGACAGTGCATAGATTTTGATATCATTGGCCCCTGGACTGGATATCATTGGTCCTGGACTGAGACAAGTGCATAGATTTTGATATCATATCATTGGTCCTGGACTGAGACAGTGCATAGATTTTGATATCATTGGCCCTGGACTGAGACAGTGCATAGATTTTGATATCATTGGTCCTGGACTGAGACAGTGCATAGATTTTGATATCATTGGTCCTGGACTGAGACAGTGCATAGATTTTTGATATCATGGACTGAGACAGTTGGATTTTGATATCATTGGTCTGACTGAGACGGTGCATAGATTTTGATATCATTGGCCCTGGACTGAGAGTGTAGTGCATAGACCCTTTTGATATCATTGGCCCTGGACTGAGACATTTTGTGACAGTGTATAGATTTTGATATCATTGGCCCTGGACTGAGACAGTACATAGATTTTGATATCATTGGTCCTGGACTGAGACAGTGCATAGATTTTGATATCATTGGTCCTGGACTGAGACAGTGCCTAGATTTTGATATCATTGGTCCTGGAATGAGACATTTTGATATCGTGACCCTGGACATTGAGACATATATTTTTGATATCATTGGCCCTGGACTGAGACAGTACATAGATTTTGATATCATTGGTCCTGGACTGAGACAGTACATAGATTTTTGATATCATTGGCCCTGGACTGAGACAGTGTATATCATTTTGATATCATTGGTCCTGGACTGAGACAGTGTATAGATTTTGATATCATTGGCCCTGGACTGAGACAGTGCATATATTTTGATATCATTGGCCCTGGACTGAGACAGTGCATGGTGATAGATTTCGATATGACCCTGGACCAGTGTATGGACTGAGACAGTGTATATGATTTTCATATCATTGGCCCTGGACTGAGACAGTGTATAGATTTTGATATCAGTGTATAGATTTTATATATCATTGGCCCTGGACTGAGACGGTGTATAGATTTTGATATCATTTTTTATCAGGCCCTGGACTGAGACAGTGTATAGATTTTGATATCATTGGACCCTGGACTGAGACAGTGTATAGATTTTGATATGACCCTGGCTGACCCTGGACTGAGACAGTGTATATCATTTTTGATATGATTTTGACCCTGGACTGAGACAGTTTATAGATTTATATATCATTGGCCCTGGACTGAGACAGTGTATGATTTATATATTTTGATGCATCATTTTGGTATCTGGACTGAGACAGTGTATAGATTTTGATATCATGACCCTGGACTTAGACAGTGTATTGATTTTGAAATCATGACCCTGGACTGAGACAGTGTATAGATTTTGATATCATGACCCTGGACTGAGACATATGTGGCCCTGGACTGGGACATATGAATTTTGATATCATTGGCCCTGGACTGAGACAGTGCATAGATTTTGATATCATTGGCCTGTACTGAGACAGTGTATTGAGACAGTGCATGAATTTTGATATCATTTTGACTGAGACAGTGCATAGATTTTGATATCATTGGCCCTGGCCCTGAGACTGCCTAGACAGTGTATAGCATAGATTTTTTATATATCATTGGATATCCCTGGACTGAGGAGACAGTGTATAGATTTTGATATCATTGGTCCTGGACTGAGACAGTGTATAGATTTTGATATCATTGGTCCTGGACTGAGACAGGTATATATTTTCATGGATCAAGGACCCTGGAGTGAGCATATACTATCATTGGCCCTGGACTGACAGTGTATAGATTTTATATCGTGACCCTGGACTTAGACAGTGTTATTTTATATCATTGGCCCTGTATATTTTGATATCGTGACCCTGTTAAACAGTGTATAGATTTTGATATCGTGACCCTGGCTGAGACAGTGTATAGATTTATATATCATTGGCCCTGGGTGAGACCCTGGACTGAGTGTGCATAGATTTTGATATCATTGGTCCTGGACTGAGACAGGTAGATTTTGATTTTCATATCAAGGACCCTGGACTGAGACAGTGTATAGACAGTTATATTTTATATCATTGGCCCCTGAGACAGTATAGATTTTGTATCTTAGACTGAGACAGTGCATAGATTTTGATATCGAGACACTGGCTGAGACAGTGTATGATTTATATATCATTGGCCCTGGACTGAGACAGTGTATAGCTTTTGATATCATTGGTCCTGGACTGAGATTTATATACAGGGTATTGATTTTCATATCAAGGACCTGGACTGAGACAGTTTATAGATTTATATATCATTGGCCCTGTACTTAGACAGTGTATAGATTTTGATATCATTGGACCCTGGCAGGGAGACAGTGTATAGATTTATATATCATTGGCCCTGTTTGAGACAGTGATAGATTTTGATATCAGTATAGCTTGGCCCTGGGTGAGACAGTGTATAGCTTTTTTGATATCATTGGTCCTGGACTGAGACAGGGTATTGATTTTTTCATATCAAGACCCTGGACTGAGTACAGTGTATAGATTTATATATCATTGGCCCTGTACTTAGACAGTGTATAGATTTTGATTATCTTGACCCTGGACTGAGACAGTGTATAGATTTATATATCATTGGCCCCTGGGTGAGACAGTGTATAGCTTTTGATATCATTGGTCCTGGACTGAGACAGGGTATTGATTTTCATATCAAGGACCTGGACTGGAGACAGTTTATAGAGTTTTATATATCATTGGCCCTGGACTGAGACAGGGTATTGATTTTCATATCATGGCCCTGGACTGAGACAGTGTATAGATTTTGATATCGTGACTCTGGACTGAGACAGTGTATTGATTTTGATATCATGACCCTGGACTTAGACAGTGTATTGATTTTGATATCATGACCCTGGACTGAGACAGTGCATAGATTTTGATATCATGACCCTGGACTAAGACAGTGTATAGAATTTCATATCATGGCCCTGGACTGAGACAGTGTATAGATTTTGATATCATTGGCCCTGGACTGAGACAGTGCATAGATTTTGATATCATTGGTCCTGGACTGAGACAGTGCATAGATTTTGATATCATTGGTCCTGGACTGAGACAGTGCATAGATTTTGATATCATTGGCCCTGGACTGAGACAGTGCATAGATTTTGATATCATTGATCCTGGACTGAGACAGTGCATAGATTTTTTTGATATCATTGGCCCTGGACTGAGACAGTGCATGAATTTTGATATCATTGGTCCTGGACTGAGACAGTGCATAGATTTTGATATCATTGGTCCTGGACTAGACAGTGCATAGATTTTGATATCATTGGTCCTGGACTGAGACAGTGCATAGATTTTGATATCATTGGCCTGGATTGAGACAGTGCATAGATTTTGATATCATTGGTCCTGGACTGAGACAGTGCATAGATTTTGATATCATTGGCCCTGGACTGAGACAGTGCCTAGATTTTTATATCATTGGTCCTGGAATGAGACAGTGCATAGATTTTGATATCATTGGCCCTGGACTGAGACAGTACATAGATTTTGATATCATTGGTCCTGGACTGAGACAGTACATAGATTTTGATATCATTGGCCCTGGACTGAGACAGTGTATAGATTTTGATATCATTGGTCCTGGACTGAGACAGTGTATAGATTTTGATATCATTGGCCCTGGACTGAGACAGTGCATATATTTTGATATCATTGGCCCTGGACTGAGACAGTGCATAGATTTTGATATCGTGACCCTGGACTGAGACAGTGCATATATTTTCATATCATTGGCCCTGGACTGAGACAGTGTATAGATTTTGATATCGTGACCCTGGACTTAGACAGTGTATAGATTTTGATATCATTGGCCCTGGACTGAGACAGTGTATAGATTTTGATATCGTGACCCTGTACTGAGACAGTGCATAGATTTTGATATCGTGACCCTGGACTGAGACAGTGTATAGATTTTGATATCCTGACCCTGGACTGAGACAGTGTATAGATTTTGATATCCTGACCCTGGACTGAGACAGTGCATAGATTTTGATATCATTGGTCCTGGACTGAGACAGTACATAGATTTTGATATCATTGGCCCTGGACTGAGACAGTGTATAGATTTTGATATCGTGACCCTGGACTGAGACAGTGTATAGATTTTGATATCATTGGCCCTGGACTGAGACTGTGCATATATTTTGATATCATTGGCCCTGTACTGAGACAGTGTATAGATTTTGATATCATTGGCCCTGTACTGAGACAGTGTATAGATTTTGATATCGTGACCCTGGACTGAGACAGTGTATAGATTTATATATCATATATCATTGGCCCAGGAGTGAGACAGTGTATAGATTTTGATATCATTGGTCCTGGACTGAGACAGGGTATTGATTTTCATATCAAGGCCCTGGAGTGAGACTGTGTATAGATTTATATATCATTGGCCCTGTACTTAAACAGTGTATAGATTTTGATATCGTGACCCTGGCTGAGACAGTGTATAGATTTATATATCATTGGCCCTGGAGTGAGACAGTGTATAGCTTTTGATATCATTGGTCCTGGACTGAGACAGGGTATTGATTTTCATATCAAGGCCCTGGACTGAGACAGTGTATAGATTTTATATCATTGGCCCTGTACTTAGACAGTGCATAGATTTTGATATCTTGACCCTGGCTGAGACAGTGTATTGATTTTGATATCATGACCCTGGACTTAGACAGTGTATTGATTTTGATATCATGACCCTGGACTGAGACAGTGCATAGATTTTGATATCATGACCCTGGACTAAGACAGTGTATAGAATTTCATATCATGGCCCTGGACTGAGACAGTGTATAGATTTTGATATCATTGGCCCTGGACTGAGACAGTGCATAGATTTTGATATCATTGGTCCTGGACTGAGACAGTGCATAGATTTTGATATCATTGGTCCTGGACTGAGACAGTGCATAGATTTTTGATATCATTGGCCCTGGACTGAGACAGTGCATAGATTTTGATATCATTGATCCTGGACTGAGACAGTGCATAGATTTTTGATATCATTGGCCCTGGACTGAGATGGTGCATAGATTTTGATATCATTGGTCCTGGACTGAGACAGTGCATAGATTTTGATATCATTGGTCCTGGACTGAGACAGTGCATAGATTTTGATATCATTGGTCCTGGACTGAGACAGTGCATAGATTTTGATATCATTGGCCCTGGATTGAGACAGTGCATAGATTTTGATATCATTGGTCCTGGACTGAGACAGTGCATAGATTTTGATATCATTGGCCCTGGACTGAGACAGTGCCTAGATTTTTATATCATTGGTCCTGGAATGAGACAGTGCATAGATTTTGATATCATTGGCCCTGGACTGAGACAGTACATAGATTTTGATATCATTGGTCCTGGACTGAGACAGTACATAGATTTTGATATCATTGGCCCTGGACTGAGACAGTGTATAGATTTTGATATCATTGGTCCTGGACTGAGACAGTGTATAGATTTTGATATCGTGACCCTGGACTGAGACAGTGTATAGATTTTGATATCATTGGCCCTGGACTGAGACAGTGCATATATTTTGATATCATTGGCCCTGTACTGAGACAGTGTATAGATTTTGATATCATTGGCCCTGTACTGAGACAGTGTATAGATTTTGATATCGTGACCCTGGACTGAGACAGTGTATAGATTTATATATCATTGGCCCAGGAGTGAGACAGTGTATAGATTTTGATATCATTGGTCCTGGACTGAGACAGGGTATTGATTTTCATATCAAGGCCCTGGAGTGAGACTGTGTATAGATTTATATATCATTGGCCCTGTACTTAAACAGTGTATAGATTTTGATATCGTGACCCTGGCTGAGACAGTGTATAGATTTATATATCATTGGCCCTGGAGTGAGACAGTGTATAGCTTTTGATATCATTGGTCCTGGACTGAGACAGGGTATTGATTTTCATATCAAGGCCCTGGACTGAGACAGTGTATAGATTTATATATCATTGGCCCTGTACTTAGACAGTGCATAGATTTTGATATCTTGACCCTGGCTGAGACAGTGTATTGATTTTGATATCATGACCCTGGACTTAGACAGTGTATTGATTTTGATATCATGACCCTGGACTGAGACAGTGCATAGATTTTGATATCATGACCCTGGACTAAGACAGTGTATAGAATTTCATATCATGGCCCTGGACTGAGACAGTGTATAGATTTTGATATCATTGGCCCTGGACTGAGACAGTGCATAGATTTTGATATCATTGGTCCTGGACTGAGACAGTGCATAGATTTTGATATCATTGGTCCTGGACTGAGACAGTGCATAGATTTTGATATCATTGGCCCTGGACTGAGACAGTGCATAGATTTTGATATCATTGATCCTGGACTGAGACAGTGCATAGATTTTGATATCATTGGCCCTGGACTGAGACAGTGCATAGATTTTGATATCATTGGTCCTGGACTGAGACAGTGCATAGATTTTGATATCATTGGTCCTGGACTGAGACAGTGCATAGATTTTGATATCATTGGTCCTGGACTGAGACAGTGCATAGATTTTGATATCATTGGCCCTGGATTGAGACAGTGCATAGATTTTGATATCATTGGTCCTGGACTGAGACAGTGCATAGATTTTGATATCATTGGCCCTGGACTGAGACAGTGCCTAGATTTTTTATATCATTGGTCCTGGAATGAGACAGTGCATAGATTTTGATATCATTGGCCCTGGACTGAGACAGTGCATAGATTTTGATATCATTGGTCCTGGACTGAGACAGTACATAGATTTTGATATCATTGGCCCTGGACTGAGACAGTGCCTAGATTTTTATATCATTGGTCCTGGAATGAGACAGTGCATAGATTTTGATATCATTGGCCCTGGACTGAGACAGTGTATAGATTTTGATATCATTGGCCCTGGACTGAGACAGTGCATATATTTTGATATCATTGGCCCTGTACTGAGACAGTGTATAGATTTTGATATCATTGGCCCTGTACTTAAACAGTGTATAGATTTTGATATCGTGACCCTGGCTGAGACAGTGTATAGATTTATATATCATTGGCCCTGGAGTGAGACAGTGTATAGCTTTTGATATCATTGGTCCTGGACTGAGACAGGGTATTGATTTTCATATCAAGGCCCTGGACTGAGACAGTGTATAGATTTATATATCATTGGCCCTGTACTTAGACAGTGCATAGATTTTGATATCGAGACACTGGCTGAGACAGTGTATAGATTTATATATCATTGGCCCTGGAGTGAGACAGTGTATAGCTTTTGATATCATTGGTCCTGGACTGAGACAGGGTATTGATTTTCATATCAAGGACCTGGACTGAGACAGTTTATAGATTTATATATCATTGGCCCTGGACTGAGACAGGGTATTGATTTTGATATCATGGCCCTGGACTGAGACAGTGTATTGATTTTGATATCATGACCCTGGACTGAGACAGTGTATTGATTTTGATATCATGACCCTGGACTGAGACAGTGCATAGATTTTGATATCATGACCCTGGACTAAGACAGTGTATAGAATTTCATATCATGGCCCTGGACTAAGACAGTGTATAGAATTTGTTACCATGGCACTGGACTGAGACAGTGCATAGATTTTGACATCTTGGCTCTGGACTGAGACATTGCATAAATTTTATTATCATGGGCCCTGAACTGAGACAGTGCATAGATTTTGATATCATCGCACGGAACGGAGACAGTGCATAGATTTTGATATCATGGCCCTGGACAGAGACAGTGTCTAAAATTTGATATCATGGCCCTGGACTGAGACAGTGCATAAATGTTACTATCATGGGCCCTGAACGGTGACAGTGCATAGATTTTGATATCATCACCCGGAACTGAGACATTGCATAAATTTTATTATCATGGGCCCTGAACTAAGACAGTGCATAGATTTTGATATCATCGCCCGGAACTGAGACAGTGCATAGATTTTGATATCATGGCCCTGGACTGAGACAGTGTATAGAATTTGATATCATGGCCCTGTACTGAGACAGTGCATAGATTTTGATATTATGGCCCTCGACTGGGACAATGCATAGATTTTGATATCTTGGCCCTGGACTGAGACATTGCCTAAATTTTATTATCATGGGCCCTGAACTGAGACAGTGCATAGATTTTGATGTCATGGCCCGGAACTGAGACAGTGCATAGATTTTGATATACTGGCCCTGGACTGAGACAGTGCATAGATTTTGATATCATGGCCCAGGACTAAGACAGTGTATAGAATTGGATATCATGGCACTGGACTGAGACAGTGCATAGATTTGTGGTCCGTTCTCTCCAAAAAGCTTGCTTATTTGAATGGACTAGCTTAATGCATTTGTTTTTTTTTTGTTTTGTTTTACGGCATATCAACCTCAATGGGTTATTTAATGCCAACAACATCTTTAGGATTAGTTCTTAGGAATAGAATATGTATTCTTTGGTTTATTTTTGTTTGTTTAATTTTGTTTTACGGCATATCAGCCTGAATGGGTTATTTAATGCCGACAACATTTTATATTCTTGGTAATGTTTTTCTTCAAAGGTTTATTTCTTGGAATATGTTTCCTTGAAGAAATCTATAGTTGGTCATATTTTTTCATAGAATGTATAACTGTTTGTATTGCTGATATTTCTTTTTAAGTATTGCTGATTATGTTTCCTTCAAATATTATTGCTGACAATATTTTTTATTACAAAGTATTTCTGGTATTAAAACCTATTTTTACACCATTTTGGGTGTTAACTATTTGCCCATAGTTGGGACCCTAACAGGTGTTACAACTCCGGGTGAGGGTGGACCTGGGGACACCCGCAATTAAGAAGTGATTCCACGCTCCTCAAAACCTCCTGATCAGAGGACTTGCTGTTGGACGTAGTTTATCCTTTTACCCAGAACGCGGATGTAGTTTATCGTCAAACCCAGGACGACTTAATGCATTTATTGCTACACAGAATATGTCCAAAATATCCAACCATTTTGAATACTTGAATTTAGATAAAGGGTCGGCAAACCCAGGTCACATTTGGCCCTCCAACTTAATACCTGGACACTAATTATCTAAGTATTTTGTGGGGCAAGTGACAGAAAAAAACATATTAGTTGGAGTTAATTAACTTCCAATGTAACATTTTTTTTTAAATCAAAATTTAATTCCGAATCCACCACTGACTTCTACTCTAAGTAATTTGACTTTTTTGTTTGTTAATTGTAATCCTGTTATTTCTGCAGTAAAATAAGGAACCTTGTTTAAATAATACAACATTAACTTCGTTGCTTCTTTTCTTTTTAAAGTTATAGACTAAGGCAGCCCTCTGGACGGAGCGGTCCGAGGTCGAGACAATTTATTATAATACCTTTGATATTATGGCCGTCCTCCGAGACACTGCACAGATTTTTGTCCTGCTCTCTGCAAAGGGTTGTTGACCCCTGTTCTAGTGGATCAACGTCTGGCGTCATGAATTTGGCGCCATAAGAATTGGGAGTTCAAACCATGGGCAGGACAATAACTAAACCGTACTAAAATAAAAGGTTGACGCGATATCATGGTCAGTGAAAGTGATCAAGCCGGACGAACCTGATGAAAGCCAGGGGAATGCAACGGCCGAAACGTTGTAATAACACCAGCATATATGTGGACAATAGTCAGTATATGCATAGTGTGAATAATAAATTGTCATCCCAGGAATTCAGACAGAAATCTATATGCTTCTCGGTAGTACGTTATGTTTAGTAAAATCTATTCATTGCCTGGAGAAGAATCTCGTAACCATCAACTTCCCTGACCAAAAAAATTACTTAGTAAACCCTCAAGACTTATTTCACAAGGCAGGCAAGTACAATTTTTTACTACGTTACTTATAATTTGAAAAGCAAAAACGAATACCTTGTAAGATACTATCATGAAAAATGCAGATATATGCACTACGTACAATGCAATTATGTAACGTAGTTTAGCCAAATAATTTAAATGGAGAGGTACGGTGGAGTCATGGATAGCTGCTCGGATTGAGGAATCAGAGAGCCGAGTTCGAATTCCAGTCGAATCTATTAGATTCATTTACGTGCTAATACCCTTGGGAAATGTATAAATCCTCTCCCGCAGCTATGGGTAAATAGCAGAACAGACCGAGTTCTATAGCCTTGGATCTACAGCATAAAGAAATCTGCCTCCTCTGTCGTGTATCGAAAGATACATGATCACCTAAGCATCTATCACGTATAACGTATAACTGACTGAATACTTTAAATAAGATAACCAACAACGATAAAATAAAATAAACAAAAATCTGAATAAATTAATATTGTATGTAAGTATAACTAAATTAAGTATAATATGTATAGCTAGCTAGAAGCGAGTGCCTAGATATACATACTATACATACATATATACAACTAGGGCGACTATTGCAGACGCTTGCTCAGGCGCATTTGTGTTTATTCAAGATCCAAAGAGCCCACCTGTGGTTTATACACACGCTAGTTACAGATTCTGGGAAAGAACGTGTTAAAACCAATTTGTACAAGGCCAGCACGCTCTAGGCCTCGGCCACGACGAATTGTGACTTCGTTCTAGCACAGCTATCGACAATCCCTAAATGTTCCGTCAATCCAATTTCACTCACAAGGCTTGGGTCGACCCGTGGTATTGTTTTCAGGCACGTTTGACACCTGCAGTTCGATAACAGTCTCTTTCCTGATAAATCGACCATGGTGAGATTCGAACCAGGGTATCATGTTCAGAATGCGAAAGTTCTAAAGACATGCCCATAAATCTAAAATATAGTTAAATAAATAAATGAAATTAAGTAAATAATAAACAAATTAACAAACTACCAATAAACGCATAAACACAAGTAAATGTCATAATAACGATCAATAGGAAATAATAAAGAAACAAATAGAAAACAACGAGTAAAAAGTAAACAATAAGAAAACAATGATTAAAAAGTAAACAATACGAAAACAATGAGTAAAACAATAAGAAAATAATGAGTAAAAATAAACAATAAAAAACAGAGTAAAATAATAAGAAAGCAATGAGTAAAAAGTAAACAATAAGTAAACAATGGGCAAAAGTAAACAATAAGAAAATAAAGAATAAAAATTAAATAGGAAAACAATGATCAAAAAGTAAACAATACGAAAACAATGAGCAAAAAGCAAACAATTTGTAAGAAATAATAAAACTCTGAGTAAAAGTAAACAATAAGAAAACAGTGAGTAAAACACTAAGAAAACCATGAGTAAAAGCAAACAATATGAAAACAATGAGTAAAAGTAAACAATGAGTAAAACCCTGAGAAAACAACGAGTAAAAAGAAAACAATGAATAAGACAATAAGAAGACAATGAGAAAAAGTGAACAATAAGAAAACAATGATTAAAAAGTAAACAATACGAAAACAAGGAGCAAATAATAAGAGAACAATGAGTAAAATGTAAACAATAAAACAACAATGAGTTAAAAACTAAACACTATGAAAACAGTGAGTAAAAATTTGAAAAAGATGAGTAAGAAGTAAACAATGAGAAAACATTGAGAAAAATTAAGCAATAAGAAAACGATGATTAAAAAGTGAACATTACGAAAGCAATTAGTAGAAAGTATACAATAAGAAACAATGAGTAAAATTTAACAAATAACAACATTCCGATCCACAATTATTTCTACTCAATAGCTTCTCGAATAATTTGAAACATAAACGTCACCGTCCACTACATAACCATCATAGTAATAGAATAGACCTTACTACCCATAATGCACTACTGAAGAGCATATATAAATAGTCTAGACAAAAACATACATGACCTGAAGATTCTGTTGTTAAAATCATTAAACTGACTTTTACCTTCAATGTCCGTTTATATGTATATAATTCTTTCAAATATGATTGGCTGAATAATATCAAATAATTTACTAAATTTCATATTTACATTTTATTTTATTTTTTCCAGAGAACTTTCGAATGTTGCTACATTCGCTTTCAACGATTGTGTTTTGTGTATGTTTATGTAATTGTAGTTGATTAATTTCAGCGTTAATACAGTTGCTGGAACCAATTTGA